TGGTAAAATAAACTCGGTTTATGGCACGGGGTCACTGCTGTGGGAATTGCAGAGACGCCGGAGTGCTGTACAACACTCCCCTCTTGTGATTTCTCTCGTTACAACACTTTGTAAACCGCAGCGTTCCCAGATTAACCATTTTACATGGATGATTCCCTCTCTGAGCACGAATCCAGCCCTTGAACAGCCGGTTTCCTCAGCGGGAACTGAAAAACACTAGTTGATACATGCACATACGCTTTGGTTTTACCGAATTCCTCTTTCCCTATGCCTAAAACCTTGTATAATTTTTATATGATTCTCTGTGGGGTGCTTCAGGAAGTTGGACAGACCTGGTATTCCCACCTCTGCCAGCACATGTTGTATTTCCTCTGTAAACACAGAATCCAGTGCAGAAATTTCAGACTGGCATGTACGTCTTCGCTTTTATCTTGTATTTATTGGAGCTGCTGGCCACTATCTGAAAGCTGTCCCTGAGCCCAAATGGGCAAATCCCCAGGAAGGGGAACACCTCCAGGGCCATAAAACTGGCAAGGCCCACGAAAAGCTTCTATTTGCCTACCTGAAAAAGCAGACTCCAAAATATCTCATTTATTTTTGATCTGGAGAAGTGGAAAAGAAAAAGAGACTTAATTTTATTACTCAGAGCTCAAGTAACAAGATCACTGTTACATGATGAGTAACTTTAAAGAATCACTGCTGATAAGTGAAGAACAGAGAACGTTTTACTTCCGTGTCACTCATGTCACACTACTTCCCCTTCTTTGAGAAAAAAAATAGCTTCTTTGTCAAGCTTCTCCTACATTTTATTGCCCAGATTAAGTACAGTTCAATATTTTGTTCCCAAGATCCTTATTTGTGGTGCAGCTGGAATGTCACTTTATTACAACAGGGAACATGGTATGTTTAAGGTGTCCGTTTTCCACCATAATACCTTGAGATCAGATCTAATGTAGAGCAACTGTGAAATTAAATCAATTAGCAGGCACTTGCCTTGAATCCTGAAGAGAAGAAGAGGAAGGCCATGAGCAACTCCCTTTCTTTTCACAAATAACAGAACTAAGTTTCCAAAATTGCTGTTTCCTTTACAAATAAATTAGCCATAGAAACCTCCAAGGTCACAGAGTTACTGAACAAAGAGTGACAAACAACAAGGCCTGTGTTCGAGCCCCATCCCTACTTCAGAAGGTGTGGTTTGCTGTGGCATGAGGGTGCTCAGGGCTGCTGGATGTTCAAAGAGCAGGAAAACTAAGGAATAAAATTCCTAAAGTTATTTAAAAAAATCATAATAATAAAAAGTGTGACTTCTGGTTGACAGCATGCATTTTAAAAGCACCTGTTGTCATAATAAAGGCAAGAAATAAGACAGCCTTAGGCACAGTAGGCACTCAGACTGAGAACATCTCAGCAGTAGCCACAGAATCATAGAATCATGGAATGGTTTGGGCTGGAAGGGACCTTAAATATCAATTTGTTCCAACCCCCTGCCATGGGCAGGGACACTTCCACTAGACCAGGTTGCCCCATCTCACTTCAGAGGGTGACAGTGGGGGTATCAGTCCGGGGTTGAACTAATTATGTCAAAATCCCTTTATTTAATGGGCTGATGCCACCTCCAAAGCACAATTCCCCTGACCTGTTTTAGAAGTCTACCTCAGGATGAACTGAATCCCACCACAGGAATGCCTTTTGCTCTCCATGGATGTGAAGGGGAATCAAAGGCACTACTCAGAGGTGCCTGTCCCACCCACATCTGCCTTTGGTCAAGCAGGTCCTGGCTGTGGACATGAACTGTTAAGATCAACATCACAACCAAGACTTCTGAGTTTGGAGGTGGTTTAACAGGTGTTGGAAGTGGGACAAAGAATGTTACCAGTGTGTTACAGAGTGCTCAAGAGGGGCTTTTTTCCATGGACCTGTAACCTCATTGTAGGAAATACAGTGCTTTCATGATAATTTAGATCATCTTCACCCTCTCTAACAATGCCTCCTGGCCTGGATCATCTTCTTCACACAGACATCACTCTCACATGTGGCTCTGACACTCTCAGTCTCACTGGCAGAGGAGAACAGAATTTGGGCCAGCCCTGCACCGACAACACATTTGTTTGCTCTTTCTGTTTAAACCACCCGAGGACAGTGAACTTGTGCCAGAGCAATTCCGTCGGGCTCACAAGTGTCCTTTGGTGCCCGAAAACACACACCAAAGAAACATTAAACACTTGAACACAATTGTGTATGGAAACACCTCTGTGGAGCAATTACAAGCGTCTAAAAACAGATCTGCAGAGCAACTGCAGGACACAAAGCCAACAGGGATAGAGACAATGTGCAATAATCTTTCTGAATCATAGAATAATCTTAGAGTGGTTTGGGCTGGAAGGGACCTTAAAGATCATCCAGTTCCAAACCTCCTGCAATGGGCAGGAACACCTTCCACTAGACCACTTCCACCTGCTCCAAGCCTTGAACTCGAACACTTCCAGGGATGGGGAATTAGAGCCTTGGAAAAGGACAAATAAATCTTAAAGGATAGAGAGACCCATTTCTTTCTCAAAATTCAAGTTTTTCCATCATTAATTAATTCGAAAAAAGAAAGCCTTATAATTCCCTTACTTTCCAATAGGTCTTTTAATCTTTTCCCATTTTCCTTCAACCCCCAGTAGTCCATAAACAGGAGCCTGTAACACCACACTATTTATTCTTCCTAATTAAAGAATCCTGTTAGGACACGTAGAGCAGTTGCTGGATTTTCCTTTTAAGCCCAGACCTGTCACTTCCATGAAAAATAACTGTAGCAAATGAAAGCAAGTCTTAAAAGGGCACCGCAAATCTTCATGTGAGAAAAGAAAAAAGAGGGAAAAAAACTCTGCATTTTGAGGATCCTTGTGTGCACATTAATAGAATCTTCACATCTAAAGGACTTGTTTGTTGCTGTGATATCTAGTAACATTCTTAAAAGAGATTATTCAAGACAGAGATAGTTTGAGACCTCCTTCAGCCTTGTTGAATTTCCACTGTTATCAGTCACACAAGTGCTGCCCAAGGCCTGCCTTGGCCTATCCAGACAGGAATGACGTCCCTCACGCTGCTTTTGGAAGGAAAAGCAAGAACTCCTGCAGTCTGATCTGCAACAGTGTCACTAAAACACCTCTGGCACCTGTCCTCAGACTAAACACCACTGGCAGAGTCCTTGTGGGCAGCGCCCGTGCCCGATCAGGCTCAGGGTGATCAAACGAAACAGCACAGATGGTAACACGTAGTGCCCCTGGGCACCAGTGAGGTGGCATCTCGAATCCTGGGGTCGGTTCTGGGCCCCTCAATGCAGGCAGGACATTGAGGGACTGCAATGAGTCCAGAGAAGGGGAAGAGTCTGGAGCACAAGTCCCACAAGGAGCAGCTGAGGGAGCTGGGGGGGCTCAGCTCGGAGAAAAGGAGGCTCAGGGGGGACCTTCTGGCTCTCTCCAGCTCCCTGACAGGAAGATGGAGCCAGGCAGGGGTCAGGCTCTGCTCCCAGGTAACAAGGGACAGGATGAGAGGACATAGTCTTAAGGTGTGCCTTAAGGGAGGTTTAGGTTGGACTTTAGGAAGAATTTCTCCACAGAAAGACTGATTAGACGTTGCAATGGGCTGCCCAGGGAGGTGGTGGAGTCACCATCCCTGGAGATGTTTGAGGAAAAAGACATTAAGCTGTTAGAAAGTGTCCAAAGGAGGGCCATGAGGATGGAGAAGGGGAGATCTCATCCCAATCTGCACCTTCCTCATGAGGGGAAGAGGAGGGGCAGGCACTGATCTCTTCTCTGTGGGGACCAGGGACAGGACCCAATGGAAGGGCTGCAGCTCTGTCAGGGGAGGTTTAGGTTGGATCCCAGGAAAAGGTTCTTCCCCCAGAGGGTGGTCAGGCACTGGAACAGGCTCCTCAGGGCAGCAGTCACAGCACCAAGGCTGCCAGAGCTCAAGGACCATTAGGATGATACTCTCAGGGACAGGGTGGGATTGCTGGGGTGTCCTGTGCAGGGCCAGGACTTGGACTGGATGATCATCGTGGGTCCCTTCCAGCTCAGGATATTCTGTGAGTCTGTGATTCTGTGAAAGACTGGATGTGGCACTGAGTGCTGTGGTCTGGTTGACACGGTGGTGTTTGGTCATAGGTTGGACTTGGTGATCTCAGAGGTCCTTTCCAACCCAACTGATTGCGATTTTGTGACTCTGTGTCTCTGAATCTCTGTGATTCAGTGACTGACTCTGTTTGTCTCTGTGAGTCTGTGTTCCTATAACCCCGTGTCCCTCTGTCCCTAGATCCCTGTTCCCCTGTATCCCTCTGTCCCTGTTTTGCTATGTCCCTGTATCCCCGTTTCCCTATATCCCTCTGTCTGTATCCCTGTGACCTTGCTCCCCTGTGTCCCTGTTCCCCTGTATCCCTCTGTCCCTGCATCTCTGTATCCATGTCCCTATATCCCTATGTCAGTGTACACTCGTGTCCCTGTATCCCTCTAACCCTATATGCCTGTGTCCCTGTATCCCCGTATCCCTCTAACTCTCTTTATGCCTGTATCCCCGTATCCCTCTAACTCTATATGCCTGTATCCCCGTATCCCTCTAACTCTTTATGCCTGTATCCCCGTATCCCTCTAACTCTGTATGCCTGTATCCCTCTAACTCTATATGCCCGTATCCCTCTAACTCCGTATGCCCGTATCCCTCTAACTCC